CTCTGTCCACTGTCCCCCACTGTCCACTGTCACCCTCTGTCCACTGTCCCCCACTGTCCACAGTCACTGCTCTGTCCACTGTCACCCCTCTGTCCACTCTCCCCCTCTGTCCACTGTCACTCCGCTGCCCTATCTGGTACAGACTTTCTGGCTGGGCTGTAACTGCGGCCACCTCCACCGCCACATCCCTTGTCCCACGGCTGTATGGGAGCTGGTCCCAAAGCCGGGCCTACCTGCGCGCGCCGTCAGGATCCCAGGTGGGGAGGCAGCCGCTCCCTAGACCAAAGAGAACAGGCATCAGTCTGTCCACTTGCTCCCACTCATCCTGCCCCGTCCTGAGAACCAGATGCTAACCCCAGGGGGGACACAGGTCACTGGGGGCTAGACCACCCACAGGGGAGAGCAGCCTGAGGCTCGACTCCTCCTCTCCAGGGGCCCCTCACCACATGCCCTAGGACTCCGGCCGACCCGCGAGCCCTGATGCCCACATGACCCCGTCTGGGGAAAGGGTGGGAACTTCGGGCCCCCCGGCCAAACCCAGCCCTGCCTGTCCTTGTAAACACGTCTCGTTGGCTCACAGCCCCACCGTCCACCATGTGCGGCCCGCTGCGCAGCGGGATTTGTAGCCAGATGCACAGGGCTGTGACATGCGTGCCCTGGCCCTGGGCCCTGCCGGCCACTGTAAGCAGCACCTGCGAGGGGGTCCACCCAGGACCCCGTGAGAGGAGCCAAGTCCCCCAGACCGCAGCATCTCCTCGCGGTGCCCCATTGGAGGTTCGGACAGACTCGGGGGAAGAGGCGGTGTTGGGCTGTGGTGGTCTAGAGCCGGGGGGAAGGGTCAGCCAGAAGATCAGGAGGGAGGGACGGTGACCCACGGCTGGCACGTTCATTGCTGCTGGGCTGCCATCTCCCAAAGCCCTCAGGACAGGCCACACCAGGGCCAAGGCATGTAACCGGAAAGGGTCGGGCATCCGCAGTGCTTCTGGGGAGCGTGCCGGGCAGTGGGCCCTCGTGGGGGGCAGGGTCTGGAATGGGGGTGCAGAAGCCCGACCCACTCTCTGGGAGGGCAGAGGTGGGTGCCATGGACCCAGGACACAGCACCCTGACCCTGGTCCTGAGCCAGGCTGGAGGGACGCCCTGAGCACGCTGGGCTGGTCTAACCTGTCACATATATCAAGACATCCGCGTGCAGCCCTGGCGACTTGGGCGGGGTGTGTCTGAGCTCCGACACCTGGGACGAGAGGCCTCCCCCCACCCCCCGGAAGGCCGTCACACACACACGGGCCTCTGGACCTGAGTCCTCGCCCACCTCCGCAGGCCTGTGACACAGGAGGTCAGCCACCTGCCTCAGGAGCCCCACGCGCGGCTGCTCAGAGCCCCACCTGAGATGGCACCCGCCTGGGGCCAGTCCTGCAGCTGCAGCGCCAGACCCAAACGCTGCCTGTGGGCGGGATGCAGCAAGACGCCATGGAAAACGAGCGGACGCAGACCCACCTTGTCCCCCCAGGGTGCCAGGACCAAGGTGGGGCAAGTGGGCTGCGCAGCCCCGGGGAGGTGAGGAGGACTTGTGCTGAGGGCCTGCTCCCCAAGTTGTCCCAGCCCTGACATCCGATAGAAAGCCCCAGGGCACCTGAGAAGAACCCCCACACTGCCCGCCCCACCCTGGGGAGGAAGAGAGGAGCTGGTGACCCTGCGGCGCCGGAGCCCCTCACGGCTCCCAAGCAGGAGCAAGAGGCCCACCACGTGAGCACGTTGGGGAGAACAGAGGAAGGCGAATGCCTCCTGCGACACCCCCACCGTGAAAGGCTGTTCTGGTGCCCCGCCCAGCCCCACGGGGCAAGAAGCCACCGTGCCCACCACCTCATCCCCTGGGGCCGCCAGGGATCTGGGGAAAGACTGAGGCACGCTCACTCTGGGGGGCCAGGCCCTCCTCCTCCTGAGCCACCCCATCGCACTAGATGTCATGGGCTCCAACAGTCCCCAGAGGGTCACAGTGGTCAGCGGGCACTCCCACGAAGGGCCCCTCCCTCTTCTGGTGAGGACCTCATGCCATCGGCCCAGGCCCCACCCGCCCAGGTCCTTGGCCACGCCTCCTCCAGCCAAGGGCCCCCAGCAAGACCGAGTCCCCACCTGGCGGGCCACAGTCCACTCCTCCAGCCTCACCCCCAGATGGCCGTTCCCTGGAGTCCCAGCCATCAACCTCAGTCAAGGAGACCCGAGTCCACAGCCAGGATACCCACACGGGAGGGGCACGCAGACGCCCAGCTCCAGCCCGCCCTCGCTTCACATGGCAAGGGCCAGTCACTCAGCCACTGGGGCCTGTCTCTTCTGGTCAGAGGAATGCCTGCCCCACCCCGGCTGCACCCACACAGGAGACCCGCGGGAGAACAGTGGGACCAAGCCCAGGTGACGAGGGGCTCTGGCCAGAGCAGACAGCCCAGCCCCCCAGGGCTACCCCAGCCAGCTCCCCGGCAGCAGCCGCTCACAGCCTGATTTCTTTTGCAACAAGATTGGCAGGGCCTCTGGGGAGGTGAGAGCACCGTGTGTGTGATGACGACTCTTGTCACCAGGCCTCCACCCAGCACTCACGTGCATCCTCTCATCGATCCACTCGGTGTGCCCAGGGAGGTGGGGACTGGTGTCCCCCCTATGAAGAGGAAACTGAGGCTCAGACAGGTGTGGTGACTTGCCTGGGGCCACCAAGCTGGCCTTTCCCAGCGCTGCAGTGCGGCGGGAGCCCCCCGGCTCCCCTGGCAGAGTGGGCCCCCACTGGTTGGTGAGCAAGGGTGAAAATGGGCGTGGCAGGGCAGGGTCCCCAGGATGTGCAGGGGGTCTGAGCTGGGATCCCCGGAGCTCTGCCCGCATGAGGGAGACAGGGAGGGGCTGTGCCAGGCTCAGAGCCAAGGCCCTCACTGGCCCAGAAAGCGGCGTGTCCCCCCTCACCTGCCTGAGCCCAAGGGACCACCAAGGACCTCACTGTGGCCTGCAGTGAACACACAGGAACACACCACCTATGTGCGCACACATCCCACAGACCACACACACACGTGTGCACACACCACGCATGCAACTCACATGTGCGTGAGCACATGCACACGTGTGCACACCAAACATATGTGCATGCAACTCACATGTGCACACAGGCACACACCACACACAAATGCCTGTACATGCACACACATCATGCACATGCAAACATCACACACGTTTACACGTGTGCACCATGTTACACATGTGCACACGTTACACGTGCACACACCACATACATGCATGTGAATGCATGCGCGCGCACACACACACAGGCCCCGTGAGCGTCTGGAGCCGCCTCTCCTTCTTCACGCCTCGAGCGCATTCAGGCTGAAGGCTGACTAGGCTGCGAGGTCTCACGCTGCTCTCCTGAGCTCAGGCCAAGGGGGCTGGGCCCTGGATTCCAGAGAAGGCCAGAGGCCCCCTGGGAGGGCCAGGGTGGGAGGTGGAGGGGGCTGGCCAAATGGAAAAGGACAAGACGCTAAGAAAAGAACATTTTATTTCCAGTCTAAGAATGTATTACAAACAGTGTCAGATTTTAAAAATGTAAAAGAGCAACAAACGTCCTCAGCCAGCAGCGCAGGTACAAAGCGGCAGATTTACAGGAAGCCGTGTGCCCCTGGATGGGGGCTGATTCCAGACCGTAGGAACGAAGCCAACAGAGAGTCCACAATCGGACGGCCACGGGCCACGCATCTCGCGGGAGCATCTGAAATGGCAGAACGCACACAGCAGGCCACGAGGCTGCACTCCATGCAGGTGAGCAGACGGACCCCGGAGGGCGCAGAAGGGGCACAGTGCCAGGGGGTGACCCACCGGCAGAGTCTGGCCTCTGAGTGCAAACGGACGGGCCCTCCGAGCCCTGGCAGCCTCTGGTCCTGACCCCCGCCTGCCGGCTCCCAGCCAGGAGTGCGGAGGGGAGTGCAGGGCCCCAGCACTGTCACAGCTGGGCCTCCTGGCAAGCTGACCCTGCTGAGCCGGCCCGACAGAAGGAGACCACTGCCCGGCCCTGCCCACTCCTCGCCCGAGAGCCGTCAGGTTCAGGGAAAGGCTGGTGTGGGGCGAGCCACGGGGGTCTTGAGTCCCAGACCCCACAAGTCCCTGGGCCTCCTGAGCCTCAGTTTCCTCTTCTGTGGGATGGGCGACCTGTGGATGCTGCTTTAGGGGCAGGCAAGGGGCAAACGGGTAAAGCTCGTCACACACACCACGGGACGCACAGGGAGGTTAGCCTTGGGCTTGCATTCACAGGACTGGGGTGTCTGGGTGCTGTGGAGGGATTTGATTTTTAGCGGGCAGCGTGACTGTGCACCATGGAGGGGACCCGGGCTGAAATGTAAGGCCGTCCACGAGGTAGGTCGGGGAGGAGGCCTCCTGGCCTGAGCACCCCAAGCGCACAGCGCCAGCCGGCAGGGACGCGGGGCCTGCCTGCGCCCCCAGCACCTGATCCTTGGGCTTTGGCCTCTGCAGACCCCGGCCTGCCCCACGCAGTCTCCCACTTTCCAGAACGCACTTCTGCTGCATCCAAGTCGGACCTCCCCCGCCTCGTGGCCCCTCCCAGAGGCCCCGCTCCCCCACCCACCGGGCCCTCCCCACTGAGCCGCACAGTCCAGGCTTCACCAATGGCACGCAGGGCAGCCCCTGGGCGAGGGGGCAAGTGCCCCCTCCTCTCCTGTGGGGGCGTGGGCGGGCCAAAGCCAGCCTCTGGCGAGGCCTGGGCTGCGCTCTTAGGGCGGGGGGTTTACCTTGAGGCCTCCACAGACGGGACACGCGGAAAAGAAAGCGGTTGGGGGCCCGGCGGGGGGCACGGCCGCCTCCCAGGACTCGCCGGGGGCCGGGCTGGGCAGTGCGGGCTCGCCGCCGGGGGCCTCCGTCGCCTGTCCCCGCCGTCTCGCACCCAGCCAGCCGGAGGGACAGGCCGCGGACGTCTGGCCGCCCGAGTCCCCGGGCCCCGCGCTGTCGGGGCCGCCGTGCGCCGCGGGCGGGTCGCGGGGGCCGAGGCGCAGGCTGCGCGGCGTGTCGTAGTGGGGCCTCAGCGCAGCGGGCACCTGGTACTCGGCCGCGCCCGGCGGGCAGGCGCACAGGCTGGGCTCGGGCGCCCCCGCCGGCGGCAGGCTGAGCAGCGAGCCGAAGTCGTCGCCAGCGCGCCACACGTCCAGGCTGCTGCCGGCGCAGGACGAGAAGCTGCCCGAGTAGGAGGAGTGGCTGCCCGTGGCGATGCCGCTGTCCGACGAGCTCTGGCGGCCAACCTCCTGCAGCTGCCGCGGCCGCAGCGGCTTCGGGGGCGGCCTCGAGGCGCCCAGCGCGGCCTCCCCAGGGGCCTGGGCCGCCGCCAGCCCGGGCCCCTCTTGCAACATGCCGGCCGAGGACGAGGACTGCTCTGGCCACGCTGTGAGCCGGCTGCTGGCGCTGACGTCCGAGTGGCTGGCCTCCGACGACGAGCTGGACAGGCTGCGGTCATCCCCTGAGACGGAGAGCGGCGGCTGAGGCTGCTGCAGGGGCTGGGGGAGGTCAGCGGGGGCTGGGGGGCTGGGTTAGAGCTGACGTCCAGAACCCACCCGACTCCCCACCCCATCAAGGCCGGCACTCTCGTCTCGAGCCCCGCCCCGCCCCAGGCGCCCCCTGGAGGCTGGAGCACACCGCCCACCAGAGCCCCTCTCCCCACACCGACCTCCCCTCCACTCCGGCCCTCTCTAGAACCCGCGCCCCTCCCCTCTGTCCCCCTCAGCCACCGCCCTCTGGAAACCCGACGTGACCCCCTCCCCCAGGAAGGTAAAAGCTCAAACTTGAGACGCACTGCTCCCGGGGCGGGCCTGGACAGGAGGGGAGGAGGCCACTGTCCCCACTGTGCACCATCCCCACTGTGCAGCAATCAGAGGGCAGACAGGGCCCGCAGACCCCCCCTGCTCTGGCCGGGAGACCCCAGTGCAGCCCCCCGGGCTGGCCGCCCTCACGAGAGCTGCAGCGGCCCCCGAGGGGCTTCCCATGAACTGCAGCAACCGAGAGGCGGGGGCCGCTGAGGAGGGGCTCTGCTCCCTGCAGCCGGCACCCCTGAGCCTCCCTGGGCACCAGTGGTGAAACTGGAGTGCGAGAGGCCGTGGCCTCGCCCAGGCCACACGGCTGTGAGCAGGGAATTCAAACCCCACCCGCCAGCCAGCTCTTGTGGCAGCACCACACTGCCCGTCAGCGCTTAGTGTTTGTGAAATGGAAGGGAACAAACGAATGATCAGGAGGAGAGGAACAAACGAACGAACCCTAAGGAGATGAATGAAGAGGAGCAAAAAGAATGAAGAAATGAATGATCAGGAGGGAGCTGAATGCATGAATGAGCCTGAGGGAAAGGAATGAATGAATGAACTTGAGGGAGATGAATGAATGATGAGGGGGAGTAATGAATGAATGATCAGGAGGGAGCTGAATGCATGAATGAGCCTGAGGGAAAGGAATGAATGAATGAACTTGAGGGAGATGAATGAATGATGAGGGGGAGTAATGAATGAATGATCAGGAGGGAGCAAAATGAATGAATGAGTGATCAGGACCTTGGAGGTCGGCTTAGAGGGACAGCCCCGCCCCCACTGCTGCCCCTCCCCACAGCCCAGGCCGAGGCCACAGCCCACCCTACCTCCGCTGCCTGGCCGGCAGGAATGGGAGAGGAGGCTGAGCCGCTTCTCCAACTGCAGGGCCTCCAGGGCCTCCTGGGCCACGCGCTCCTCCACCGTGGCGGGACCCCCAGGGCTCAGGTCTGCGGCGGAGAAGAGACTCAACAGAGGAGGAAACCCCAGCCCTCTCCCCGCAAGACCCTCAGCTACAACCCACATGCTGCCCAGGACGTCACGGTGAGCCCAGCACTGCCAGGGCCACGCACACCCGGGTCCAGCCCCAACACCTGTGCCCCGGCCAGGACATCAACTTTGGGGCACCCAAACCACCCGCATCCAGATCTTCCGGCCACCAGCCTGTGTCCTGTGCCTGTGGACAGCCCCCCGGCCACCCTATGTCTGTGGACAGCTCCAGACTATCAGCCTGTGTCTTGTACCATGGACAGCCCCCCACTGACCACCAGCCTCTGTCCTGTGCCCCAAAGCTGACAGGCCTTGTGGTGGGGACCGACCTCGTGACACCCAGGGTCATGACGCCAGGCACGCCCTCCTGACCATTTCCCATCTGGCAGATGGTGGGGTAGCAAGATGCTGGCGAGTACAGACTCACAGCTCAACCACCGGCCCTCCCTGAGCCCCACATCCACGTCTGCAAACTGCGGATGCAGAGACAGGGCGCCCCAGCCAGGGCGGCGCCAAGACGGGAATGCACAGGACGTGCTCAGGGCAGGGTGGACCCCGGACTCTAATCTCTCCCTTCCCCTTGCCGACTGTCTACAGGAGGCGGGTTCTGCCTCTGGGCCTCGGAGTCCACGTGGGTCTGACCGAGCAAGGGTCAGCACTAGAGGACACCTGAAAGTCGGGAGTGTGAGGCTTCTGCCCTCATGCAGGCCACATCTCAGGAGTCCCCGACAATCACAGGGCTTCGAAGAGATGCTGGCCAGGCACAGAGGGCGGAGCCCCACCAGCCCTGTCCACATCCCTGCCGTCTACACCCCCACCATCCACACCCCCACTGTCCACACCAACCCCCTTGGGCTCCCTGCCGCCCACACCCCATCTGCAGCGCAAGGCAGGAGAAGGCCAGCAGAGGGCGATGCTGCACCGTCCAGCGGAGCCTGGACGGTCCAGGCTCTGGACGGTCCAGAGCAGCCAGCTCTGGACCCAGGGGCTGCCTCCTTCCTCCCTAGTCCATCTCCCACCCTGCGGCCCGTGTAGGGGGTCAGGAGGTTGAGGGGCCGCACTGGGAGAAGGGGGACCTGGCACGTCACCTGCCTCTGTCCTCCCAGGCGGCCCCATCTGCCCTCGCCCTGGCTGTGGTGCCACACAAGGAGACTGGAGGTGTGAGCTCATTGACCCTGCCACATGGCCGCAGGCCCTGGTCTCCTCCTGGACAACAGGACAAGCACTGCCTCACTGAGCAATCCTGGGTACCACCCACCCTGTGGGCCTCTGTCAAGGGAAGCCATAGTGACCAGGACAACCCCTTGTCCCTCCAACGGCAGCTGGGCTCCGGCCTCTCCAGCCAGAGGGCAGACCTCACCCCGGGGGTCCAGCACCGTCCCTGGCCCAGGACTCTGGACGAATGGTGCCAGGGAGGAGGGTGGGGACAGGATGAGGGAGGCTCAGTGCACCCTTGCGGCCCCCAGTGCACTGAGACCCCACACACCAGGCAACCCCACAAGTCGGCTGCCGGCCCGAATGCTGGGTGGCCGGAGCCAGGCCTGACCCCAGCCCCCAGTCCAGCGACCTCCAGCAGGGCCCCGCCCGGCTCTGGGGGACGGGGCGGGCTCCGAAGGTGTCCTGGAGCCCCGCTCCAGGCTTCTCAGCTGCGCGTGGGCAGGAGGGCGGAGGCGGAGGGAAGGCAGCCCACCGCGCCCGGCTGACAGAGCCAGCCCACCCTCCCGCCAGGCCCCGACCCGCACGCACCTGGGAGGACCGGCCGCAGCCCAAAGGGGCCCCTGGTCGGGGAGATGCCGCGGACGATGCAGTCGAACAGGAAGCTGATCCGCTCTCCCTCGGCCGAGGACAGGAAGAAGACTCCGGCCCCTGCAGGGGGAGGACAGGCCCCGCGTCAGCCGGGCGGGCACGGGTGGGGTGGGACCCTGCGGGGCGGGCTGGGGGAAACCTGAGCAAACCCACGAGACCATCCCGCCGGGAGCAGTGTCCCCAGAGCACCCTGTGTGAGTCTCTTCCTGGTAAGCCCGCCACGTCCTTCACACACACACACACACACACACACACACACACACACACACACGAGTCGTCCAGGCGGCTGGGGCCACACACCTGGCTCTCCCGGGCCCGTGCACACCAGCCCTGCCTGGGCAACCTCGCTGCGAGGCAGGAAGGCGGTGGGAGAGGGAGTCCTGACCTGCTGGTCCCGGGTCTTCCGGGTCAGCCATCTCCGGCTGCTTCTGGAGGATGGTGCCCACGGGAGGAGGCCGATGAGGGCGTCCTGGCTGCACGGGAGAGCCCGGCTGCCCCTCCCTCGTGTCCCCATGCTCATTTGAGGGATGGGGCCTGCCTAGATTGGGGTTCACATCCCTGCAAGGGCTGCAAGACCTCGGTCACGTGGGGTGAACTCCCCCTGGTTTCCTTCCCCGGGGCTGTCGTGAGGGCTAAATACGGGGTTGGTAAAATGCGTGTGGTGGTGCCTGCCCCACAAATGAGGCGTCCACCACTGCTGGGGCCACCGAGGCCCCCTCCCCTCTTCCTGGGTGCGTTTTCGGGCGAGAAACCGGAGCCCACGGCATAAAGGTACTGAGGCCGTGCCTGCGGGGCTCCCACCAGCTGAGGGAAGGCCCCAGCATGGGGCCCCAGCCCAGGCAGGGGGTGCTCAGATGGAGGGGGCACCTGGAGCCTGCGGCGCCCACGGGGCCAGCACAGAGAGCAGGCCGGTGAGTCAGCTCGGCCCTGTGCCCCAGGCCCGCACGCCCTCCCGCTGGGCCCCGAGCCCCAGCCAGAGTGAATGAAATCCCTCGCCAACTGCCTGCGAGTGAATGGGGACGCGGGGCCACGTGGGGCTGGCTGCTGGTGTGGCGTCACCGCGCAAGAATCCCTCAGCACTCGCCCTCTGCCCGTTGCCCAAAGAAAGGCACGCTCCCTCTGGAAGGGAAGGTTCTGGGGATGCTGACGGGGAGGGAGGAGAAAGCTCTGCACTAAAACCTCTGCCGCGGTCACGGTCATGCCCCGCCTTCCCCGAACTCCAGGGCCCCGCCAGCCCCACACGTGGCAGCGCCCCCGGGGCCTGCGGCAGCACCTCCGGCGTTGGAGCTCCGTCGCGCAGCGCCCGGGAACCGGGGCTGGGCTCGTCCTGGCCCACGGGGCTCCTGAGCAGGAGAAAGCAGAGGCGAGGCGTGCGGTGGGGGCCGAGGCCCGCCTGGGCCCCTCAGAAAGGCCCTGGTGGATGGGCCTCCAGCCGGGGGACGCGGCGAGAACCTGTGCCCAGGACCTTGGCTGGAGGGCAGGCGAGGGGAAGGCCCTCACACGGGCCACCAGCCCACTCACAGCGTCCCTGTCCCATCACCGCCCCGCCAGGCCCTCACGAAGGGCCGGGCCTCTAATCCCGAGCTCACGGTCAGCTGGCAGAGGCAGAGGCACAGCCAGTGCCCCGACTATAAAAAACCACATTACGAAGGGAGCCGGGCCGGCGGCATTCCACTGGGGCGGCCGCCGAGCGCCACATGCCCTGAAGACACCGCCGTGCCACCACCCCGGCTGGCCTGCAGGGGCTCCCTGGGGGGAAGCTCGTCCCCGAGGGCCTGACTGCCTGGGCTCGCTGCCCTCTCGGGGGCCCTCCAAGACTCCCCTCCCCCACCCCCGGCTCTGGGGACCCCCAGAGCTCCGTAAGTATGCCCAGCCCACCCAACATGCCCCTCGGCCACCTGTGGTGCCCTTCACCTGTCGAGACTCCGCTCACCTAACGTGGCTTTCCTGATGTCTTTCCTGACCCCTGACCCCTGACCATTCACTGGGTGATGCTTTCAGGGAACGCCTCCTCTGGGGCAGACCCTGTGGCCCTTGACTTCATGCATCCCCTCATCTCTCTGGATGCTGTCCTGGTGCCAGGCCCAGCGCCTCCCAGGCAGGGACCACTCCTGAGTCGTCTGTGGCCCCCATGTCTAACCCAGGGCCCCAGGAGCCCCCCAGGGATGGAAAGAGGGAGCAGAGGCAGGCAGCCCCCTGGTCCCCGCCCAGGGAAGCGATCTTTGCATTCCTTGTTTGTTTGTGTGTGGGGAAGCCTGGCCCAGTTTTGCTGCATCGTATGGGCGTGGTCACTGCAGAGATGGCCCCCACGCCTCCTCCCAACAGCGTCCATGAAGCCCCTCACCCCAAGGGGGGTCCATTCCCCTCCCCTGGGGTCTGGGCCAGCCTGTGGCTTGCTCTGGCCCACAGGAAGTGGCAGAGGGACGCTCTTCAGGGTTTTGGGCCAAGGCCTCAGGGGCTGGCGACTTCCACTTTCTCTCTTGGAACCGGCCACCATGTGGGCAGCCGGCTACCCTGCCCGAGAGGGCAGCCCCCAGAGGAGAGCGGAGGCGGCCCAGCCAACAGCCAGCCAGGCCCCCAGCCAAATGCCACTGCCCAAGGACCCCAGTCGACCTCGTGGAGCAGAGACAAGCCGTCTCCACTGAGCCCTGCCCAGATCCCCCAGATTCACAAGCACTGAAACAGCCATGAGGTTTGGGGTGTTTGTTACGCAGTGATGAATGACGTGGGGAAGTAAAGACAAAGAGAGGGCTCTGCTGGGCAGAGAGCCAGCCACCTGCCGGGCTCACAGCCACCTTGTGCTCTGGACACGCTATGGGTTCTCAGGGGTGCTGGCAAACCTCAGCCGCGTCATATATGCAACTACTCCCCAGGACAAATATCTCCAGTGGAAACACTGTCACATTCAACTCAAAGATTCACCAGCCCTGAGAAAGAAAATACTCTCCATTCAAACTGTCGACGAGCCAGTCAGGTCTGGCTGATTCCCAGAGTTTGGGGTTAGTGTTTAAATAATCTCCAGTGGCCTGATCCTTGCCACTCCGTCTTATTAGTGCTCAGCATCCCAGCTCCTCAGGGAACAGGTATTAATGTGCCACCTTTGTTGACAAAGACCACATGGTGGGAGTCCTGTCGGGGACTGAAAGCTCTGGAGGACTTCCATGCTGAGAAGGTTCTAGAAAGCTCTGTGCAGACAGCACTGACTTGCCTTGCGTTAGACTTTGAATCAGAAAGTTGGCATGGCTAACCAAGCCCCTTGGGATAGTATTTCATACAGGGTTTCCTAAGAGAGAAAAACATCTACTAACGAGAATTTCATTTTTCTCTGCCCTTTCATTTTGGGAGAAAGAAGCAAAGTTCAATGAAACAAGTTCATCTGAAATTAAAGTTTTAAATTTCACCCAATCATTTCACATCCACCAGGAGGACTATTATTAAAAAAACACAAACAAAACAGAAAACAACAAGTGTTGGTGAGGACGTGGAGAAACTGGAACTCTCTTGCACGGTTAGTGGGAAAGTAAAATGGTGCAGCCTCTGTGGAAAACAGTGTGGAGGTTCCTCAAAAACGTAAACAGAAGTATCATGTGACCCAGCAATTCCACTTCTGAGTATACACCCAAAAGAGCTGAAATCAGAATCTCAGAGATATTTGTACACCCATGTTTACAGCAGCCTTATTCACAATACCTAAACCGTGGAAGCAACCCAAGTGTCCATCAATGAATGAATAACCAAAATGTGGTCCATCCATACAATGGAATATTATTCAGCCTTAAAAAGGAAGGGAATTCTGACACAGCTATGACATGGATGAACCTTGAGGACATTGTGCTGAGTGAAATAAGCCAGTCACAACAGGACAAATACTGAATGATTACACTTATATGAGGTCCCTAGAGCAGCCCAATCCATAGAGACAGACAGTGGAATGGGGGTGCCAGGGGCCGGGGGAGGAGGAATGCGGAATTAGTGTTTAATGGGGACAGAGTTTCAGTTTGGGAAGATGAACACATTCTGGAGACGGATGGTGGTGATGGCTGCACAACAATGTGAATGCACTTAATGCTGGACACTAACGGTTAAGATGGTAAATGTTATGTTGTGCGTATTTTGCTCAGGTAAAACAAAAACAACAAAACACAACAAAAAGCCCAATCAACCCTCCAGGAAGCAGGCTCGGTCCCACCCTGCCCCGCCGGTGCCTCTCACGCCCTGTCACTGTCTGGGCAGGATGGACCCCACACCGCAGGGCGTGTAACCTCCTCACAGCGGCTCCCCTCCAAATGCCAGGTGCGTGGCCCAACTGCCGTGACAACGACCCCTACGTGCACACACACACACACACACAAGTGCCCCAGGGGCACAAGAGCCAGGAGGGCACCCAACACTGCCTGAGCTGAGTGGAGGAGGGGCAGTTGCGGCACCGGGCTCCATTCCTGAGCAAGGGCTGGTCTCAACCTCCCCATCACCATCGACACTCTGCTCCCTGCGACGTCCAGCCCAGGTCACTCCTTGGTGACCCACCTTCCTCCCCTGCCACCGTGTTGAACCCCTCCGGCGGCACTGGGCCCCCCAGGCACAGCCTGCTCAGGTGGGAGGCCCCTCAGGGCTGGCCTGGGGTCTTTTCTCTGCACCTCCCCGGATGCCGGCTGTGGGTCCTGTCCATCAGCCCGTTCTCTGACGTGGTGTCCTGCACGACCCAGCCACGGAGGGGCCAAGGGCATGGGGCTGCGGCAGGCCACGGCAGCAGGTGTCCTCCCATCCCCGCCTTGGGACGTGGAGCTGAGGTGTAGGGCCGGGGAACCCAGGCCCTGCTCTTTCCGCGGAGCCCACTGCCTCCCAGGGCCCTGCCAAGGTGAGGCTCAAAGGCTCGGGTGGGAAGGGCATTGCTCATATTGAATGTCCACCACTGGGACAATTCCGCAAACCTTGGCCTACTCGCCCAGAGCCATCACAGAAGGCGGGGCTGGTTCCACCGGCCCGGTCCGTGGGGGGCCGACCTGGCCCAGCACAGGGGTCTCTCTCTGGGAGGGCGGGTCCCAGGATCTCCTCTAGGG